TAAATCCAAGCTTCTTAAGTGAGTTCTATTCAATTCTGTTTTATTTATACCACCAAATCACAGCAAAGGTTGGCTCAAGGAACTTGAGGTAAGTTAAATTAAGGTAGATTAAGAAAACCCGCTGATCAGACTCCGTATGAGCAAGAACGTGGTGACAGTGCGAAGGAAAAACTTGCTTTTAAACAGGCAGAACCAGGTTCAGGGAGCTGCAACCATCTGCCACGAATGGTTGGGGGCGAGGATGAACTCCAACTTGGCCATTTTGGACGTTTTGTTTCGGATGCCAGTGCTTGTTATGATTTTCTAGCTCAGAGGGACATGAGCCAGCCAGTAGGAATAGCTGTTTAGCAACAGCTAAGCTTTCAAAATAAAAGCCAGGGAATTGCCCATTAGGCAAACTCTTTTTCTGTGTAGGAAAAACTGAGTTGACTGAAAAAGAGTGATTGAACTTTAAATATGGCATGTTCTTACTGTATGTCCTCCTCTACTAGGCTGAACGTGGTGGCTCTCGGTCACGGCTCTATTACGCTGATGCCAATCAAGAACTGATTGATAGCGGCACAGATTACACCGACCGCATTAACGTGGTTACAGACGAGAAAGGAACTCTACTCTCAATCCAGGACGTCAGACTGTCTGACGAGAGGGAATTCTACTGCCATGTTAATGGGCTGGCTGCTGGGAGCGGGGTGCGCAAGACACACCTCAGAGTATTTGGTAAGAAAGCACAGAAAACAAGCAAATCAATCTAAAGGAACATTTAGAATGTCACTGAGCTCTATCTTTATTTATGATAAACCACAACAATTGTTTTTTGTTTTTTATTCAGCTCCTCCAGATGTTCCAGAGATTGAGAGTGTCACTACTGGAATATCTGTCACTAAAGACACACCATCTAAGGTGAGCCATTCAATTTTAGATAAATATTCTTTGAGATGGCAATGTGAAGGAGGCATCTGAAAGTCACTAAAACAAATAAATTAACAAGCTAAAGACAGCAAAGATTTCTCTATGTGACCTTTAACCCAGGTTGCATCATGTGAGACACGAAACGGCTTCCCTAAACCTAACATCACCTGGTACAGGGACGGCGAGCCACTGATGAACGAATCAGGACGTGAGTACAAACTGCAGATGGATCATATAAGAAATAAATCTCACTTTGTTTAAAATTCACTTTTCTCCTGTTTTATTATAGTTTTCTCAAACACACCCCACAGGACTAGAACAGAAAATCCTTTTTGCACATACCAGCTAGGAAATGATAAAATGCATACGTGTAGTTATCTAAAAGAATGCTGTCATACTGGATCAGTACATCCATCACCTTCAGTAAATATTTCTCTATGTAGGCTGCTTTTGACAATGTCCAGCACTAGAGGAAAAACTGCCTGCAAGCTATACTAAAAGCTAGAATGAAATTGTAACTATGGTAACCACTACATATTAAATGTCTGTGTTTTTACCTTGTGATCATGTTAGCATGGGAACACAATATTAGCCTAGTGTAACTCTGTAACTGTTCCCATGAACAAGGACTCAAACAGGAGCAAAATATGTGCACTTTGTTCAGATCAGCTAATTGCATGATGTTTTATTTAAGATGTGATTTAGAGAGAACTGCATTGTGCATATCGTAATTAAATCGCATAATGGTGTTGGTCGATGCATGTTCACATTTAGTCTTGTCCAATTTCCAGGTGTAAACATAGTGATCCTGAGCTCTCGGATGTCCAGTGACCTCTACAGCGTCCAGAGCACTCTGGAATACAAGGTGGAAAAAGAGGACAAGGATGCCCGTTTCTCCTGTGAAGTCAGCTTCTTTGTCCCGGACGGTATCAGGACAATCGAGTCCCCAAGCGTCAACATCACTGTCCACTGTGAGTTAACACTCAGGGTTTTTATATTGTCATGTAAACTTAAGAAAATAAGTGTACTAAGTAAATATATAACCCAAGATTCAGTAGCTTATAGAAGCATCTTTAGAAGCAATAACGTCAAGCAATTATTTCTTTATGACTTTATTAGTCTTTCATCAAGTTAGGGTAGTTTTGGCCTTTCTTTATAAACTTTTAGTTTATTCAGGTTAACTGGGTTTGTGGGAATTTGTTTACATTTCACAACCTTATTTCTAGTATTCAAACATCACATTAACCTGTGAGTTGTGATGTATCA